ATTGAATTCTGCTTGCTGTACCTCTTCTTGACTGTTTCACAGGAAGAATACAAAACAGCAGTAACACACCCCCCATGCTCTCTTCACGGGCTGCTTTACATCATAAAATAGAATTAAGAAATGTTTATTTCGTGTTAGTCAGGTACAGGGCAGTGGCTGAAAAGCAATGTAGCCATGTGGTGAGAAAGATCAGTAGAAGCTGTGATACTCTCACTATTCATCTCTCACTATTCCTTTCACCCTGCAGCACACGGGGTGTGGAGGTAAGGAACAATTTCCTTGGCTGTGTTGGATGTTTGTCTGCAAAGCTGGAGCCACAGGGGCCATGTTTGCTGTTGATAGTGTCACAGATGAGCTGGTGTTTCACTTGTGACTGTGGTGCTTTTCTGGGCGCTTTGGTAAAGGTGGTGGTGTGAGATGGCTGAAGACTACCTCTGCTATCCGTAGATGCAGGTAGGAATGTCCTCTCCAACGGCTGGCAGAGTTCAGTAAATCATTCTGGGGAGGTGAAGCAGTGTTGACTCCAAAAGATACAATATACGGGTGATGTTCAAGGTCATCTTCACTTGGGTGCAGTGCCCAGTGCTGCTGTCATCGCTGTCAAGGTCACACAGCCTCTGCTGGGCAGCTGCAAGGCTTTTTTAGAAGCAGCCAGCAGGGCCAGTTACAGTTTTGGTATGTGATAGTATCATAGAATTCCAGGTTGGATGGAGACAAGACGGTCCAGCTCACGTCCAGCTAATTCTTAAATGTCCAGTGTTGGGGAATCCACCACTTCCCTGTGGAGATTACTCCAATGGCTGATTGTTCTCACTGTGAAAGGTTTGCTTTGGCGTTCATTCTTGCAGCTCTGGATTCCAGGGTCTGGGTCAGATTTTCCAGGATCAATTATGCAAGTAATTCTTTGTATTACTAAGGAAGAGTAGGGATCTGACACGGAGTGCCTTTGCTACATGTCACACACACACACACACACGTATAGAAGCATATATACACAAAAAGCCTATGTATGTATACTCACCCACACCAATCGCAGGCTCTGTCGCCAAAGCTTTTTGAAGAGTTACCAGAACTGTTTGAACTATTAAATTCATCACTTGAAAGGAAAAAAAAAGTGAGATACTTTTCTTAAAATAACCCAAAGCTTTGACACCTTTTCAGTTGCTGCCTGAGGGAACTGTGGGGAGGTTGAGGGCTTTCACTGCTGGTTTGCTGTGGGATCATAAAGGAAACTGTGCAGGATACAGCCTTCTGCAAGGCAGAATCGCCAAAGAGGCAGTATCACAGAGCCCTTCGGCAAGGTCAGCTCACCAAAAAGCAGGCTTAGGCTGGAGAATTCAGGAGCATTGGACAGCTTCTACCATGGAATAGCCAAGCTGTGTCTCAGAGGGATGGTGCTGGGAATGGTTCTATCCTACTGAGGGAACACAGGTTTGGATTGATTCATTTTTCCCCCTTGAATTTTGGCCTTGTCTGTCTCGCTCGATCTGCTCACTCAGTGTGAAGTCTTCATTAGACAGGCGGCTACCACTGATGTGGCAGAAGGGTGGGGGAAAGATGCTAAAAAGGTAGAAGTTTGTCCTTCAGGAGCGAGAACCATGGCAGAAGTGCTGCTAGGGAGCAAAAAGCAAGGCTGTGCCTCCAGGAGGAATAGAGCCAGGGTGTGTGTAATACTGCAGTGAATTGAACATTTACTGTTGTGTGCAGAGCTGTTGAAATGCCCTATTTAAAATAAAGACAAGTATTTTCTAGGGGTCTGGTGCTGCAAAGAATAGGTTTATGAAGTTCCAGCTACTCGTGGTGTTGGTAGTAGGGCTGGTTCCCTCTTGCTGAGCAAGGACTGTGCTGTTAGAAACATGTACAGGCTTTTTCACAAAGCTTTTTTCATTCTGGATTCCTCTTCGCAGCTTTTGCTTAGCAAAAGTGTCAGCGCAGAGTGGATGTTGTAATAAATCAGTTGCTTGCACGCAACTAAAGTTATTTCTTCTGCTTAAATCAAAAAGATCCTTTTGCAGGGTATGTTTAGACCATTCTTTGTATCAAAAGGCATTAACTTTGCATTTCATACCGAGAATTCTAAAGCCCCTAACTCTTATCCCAGCACAGGTTTAAATGCCAAATAATCTGCAAAAGGTAGTTAGCATAAATTATACTCTTCAAAGCTAAAACTATATAAAAGGAAAGTTAATCCTTGAAGCTAATTTTTATTCTGGGTATTAAGGCAAGAAGGATTCTTCTGAACAGATTTTTATTCACGTTTTCTATAGGTTTATCAACCAGTATGTATGTTTTTAATGAAAACATGGTGTCTGTAATAAACTGCATTTGTAATCAACTAGCATCCCCTTCATTTCCAAATCCATTTTAATCCCGGATTTAACTGAGGAGAGGCCTTCTGTGTTTGCTTTCAGCCATCTTGTTATTGATTTAACTGCCAGTCTGACTCAGAAGAATGTTCATCTTTACCACGGTTGCACAAGGACAGGAAATGTCAAAGTCTTGAAGCTGTGGCAACTGCAGTTCAGGTATTTCATAATCCCCCAGCCTAGAAACATATCCTTCCACCAGTGCACCGCCAGGCTGTCAGCCTTCCAAACACAGAACTGCTTTCAGCCCTGGGAAGCTGCACAACAGTAGGAACTTTTAAAACCTGCAGTGGTTAAAGCACTTCTACACCACAGCTCCTCACAAAGGAATTCTCTGGGCTGCTTCTTGTTTACATGCAGATTTTATGATTCCCTCCCTCATTTACATAATGAACTGGCAACAAGTAATAAGGATTATCAGTCTTAGATGTAAAATGATTGAAGTGGTAATTCCAGTAGCATGTGAGAGTTTCTAAGCATAAAGGTCTTTGTAAAATTGAGTATTCATCACTGTCATTGCATCTCTTCTGCCTCAGATTTGTGGGAATTCTGTTTTCTTCTGTTGTACGAGACAAAATCCATTTCCTACTCTACTCTGCAATTGTAACCTAACAGTTTCCCTGCTGTGCAAGCATCTCGGGTGTTGGTGATGCCCTTGGTCCCTATCTACCTGCTCTGTTTCTGTGGCAGCTTTTTGCCTTTACAGAGCAGGTTGCTGTGAGAGGCTGCAGTGTGTGGCAATGTCTAGGGAGGGGTGTGAGGACTTTCACATTCCATGTCTCCTGCGTCCTTGCCTGAAGTTGCAGAGGACTGACCCTATTATTGGGTCTGGGCCAGGGTTGTTTTGCCAGTTACGGGTCTAAAGCACAAGCAGCGTTGTTGCACTGTTTTCATCATCCTCCATAGCCCTTATGAAATACTTTAAAGCAACTTCTTTGGATGACTTCTGATGCACCTACAAACTCGGTTACTTACAGCAGCTGTAAGGGGTTTTTTGCTTGTCTTCTTCAAATTGCTTTGCAGATCCTTTACTGTGGGTCTGCCTGCCCTGGAACACACAGCCCTGGTGTAAGAAGGGCTATGGCTGAATAGGCCCAGATGAGTCAGAGCCAGCTCTTTCCACTCACTGCTTTGTGGTAGGCTCTGGTTCAGAGACAGCTGTGCTGTAAATGGACTGTCTAATGTGTTTGAAGTGCAAGTAATTTATTAGACACCTCTGAGAAAGGAGGCAAGTATTATCTTCATCTTACAGGCAGTGGAGTTAAGACACAGATCTGGTTTTACAACTGGAGCTAAAATTCAGGTTACACATTATTTTTCCATTAAATTCATATCAATTGCTGCTTTTTTGTTTTGTATTAGAAACCATCCAGAAGAGCACTGCACCTAAAAACTTGAAAAAAATAATTCTGATTTATTTGTTATATTTACACATTTGTCTTTAAGCTAAAATGTGAACCTTTTGGAATGTTTCTGTGTAATCAATCACCTCTAGTTTTAGCCCTTTCCCCTTTTTGCTATTTAACAAGTATTTTAATAAAAGTAATTTTTTTCCCTTAGCCCAGTAAGTAGGTCACTGTTAAAAGTTCAGCTATACAAAGTGCCTAGAAATGCATTCAGCTCAGTAACTGGTCACTTCATATTTCTTTCCAAACTTTCTTAACCAAGTCTTGTAGTAAATAAAGACTAATACCAACATGACAAGGCTGTTTTTTCAAATTGTTCATTTGCCAGTTTTGACAAGAGAAAGAAATGAATACTTTATGTGGACATTATTTTACCCAAAAAAAAAAAAAGAAACCAAACTCCCAAAACAGACAAAAAGGAGGACACAAAGGAACACACATGGAATGATGAAAAGGAACGATGATATTGCACAACTTCAGGTCTCTCTTCCCAGATTTTGATCCATGTAATTAGGTACGTATAGAGATCCAGCAAAAAAACCTCTGTCCAGATACATGTGTAGCAATGTGAGTGAATCTAGAACTGTAGACTGCTTTCAGTTCCTTCTGACTGCTCCTTGGAGTTCTTCTCTAAGAGCAGGTTGCTGCAGGAATAATAAATAAACCAACATGTTGACTCTGCATTTTGCTGACCAACCCTTCAAACGTCATCCACAATGTGCACAATTCTTCTATGTTGTAAATACACTTAAGTCTTCAAAGGATTTGGGCCTTGAAACACAACTTGTTGTTTATCATATATAGCTTGAGTATTTGATTTGTTGTGGTTAGCTTGAGATTGCATTTCATTTTGCAAGACCAGGGCTTCCCAATGCATCAGCGTTGTGGTGAATGTGTAAGAGTCACAGTAGGGTACATTACATTAAGGGGGAAAAAAATAGAGGAAAAAACCCAAACCATGCTAAGTGGATAAAAGGTCTTTACAGCTACAGTCTTTGCTAGACCATCTCTTAGCAAGCACATACTGTTTGCTACAGAAGCTGGCTAATGGTGTCATCCTGGCTGTAGCAGTACTGGCTTCCCCCTCAACTGCTCATAGACAAGTCTGTGTTCATAGAAACTGTGCATTTACATGCAGAACTATATTTTTCTCATACCTGATTTCACATCTGTTTGGTGGACTGATGTGTCAGCCAGCAGGGCTTAACAGATACATTTAATACAGGAGACTGAGATACAGTATGTTTATTCTTAACTTCTGATAACCTAAGAACTACAAGAACGAGAGATGCAGTATCCATTTGCTATAATCCAAGACAACCATTTTTAGGAAGAAAAAAGTAGAATAAGTGATCAATGCTAACACTACATTAGTTCCAATTTCATTTTTCTTTTTCTCTCAGTCATGGTAACTAGTTATTGCCCACCTGGCCCACTTTTAATCTGAGCAAGTTAAAGGTGACATTAAAGCCTGTTGTTTCATCAGAACCGAAGCAAGTGATAAAACCCAGGAAACCATAATTTCACTGTAGGACTTGGTTCATATCATCTTCATATTCCACCTCACTTGTAGAAAAGGGATAATGCATCTCAGTTTGCTTACAAGCTAGGAGATCACTTTGAAGTCTGCATATTCCTAACTGCAAACAAAATATAGCACTTTTAACAGGTTATAAATAAACTGGTTTTCAAGCATAGAGCCAGCCCAACAATAACAATACACTATTAAAAGGACCTAAGGCAATGAATTCCATCTCCAATGGAGGAAAAAAAAAGGAGGGGAAAAAAAGGGAAAAATAAAAAGAAAAAGAACTGTGCAAACAAGCTTAAACCTATTTCTTTGTGCCAGTGTTATAAAATGTAGATTTCAATAAAGCCTTGACCCAAATGCCAGGACTTGTGAAAAGAATCAGAACAAAACTGGTTACTTTATTTAGGAAAAAAATACTCTTATCTCGCTGCTGATAAAATTGGATACACGCAGTTTAAACATTTACAGTTGCTGTAACACTTTACACAATTCCTATATATGGGTGTAAGAACAAACATTAAAAGACAATGGTGGGTCAAGGCTTTACATTAAAAATAACAACCTACTTTTCTATAGTCTCTAAAATACTATGGTTTTTTCCAATATTTGCAGCCATTCAGGAATATTTTTTATTTCTTTATTAGGAAATGTATACTTTGTGCATGATCTTAATTCCTAATTCCTGGCTCTTTGGGCTGAATGACAAAAGGATCAAACCCCTTAAAGTGGATGGTCTCCTTGAAGGTTCAGTGGAGAAACCCTGGCTCAGTTAGTCTCGTATGATGAAAGCAGTGCTGCATCCACTGGCTCCATGCAGGATGGACAGGTAAAGGATCTCATCAACCAGTCATCTATACAGTCCAGGTGGTAAATGTGCATGCACGGCAGAAATCGGATAGGGTCCCCATAAACAAAGTCCATCATACAAATGACACATCTGGGGGGGGAAGAAAAATCATAAAGATATTTAAGCTGATGTTAACCACACTGGAAATGAAGCATAGTGTACATCTGCTCCTGGATATGTTTGAGTCAAACAAGCCTTTAGTAGTTGTAGGTACTGTGGGGAGTTCTTAGCTCTATCAGTGCTGGCCCCACCAAGCACTAGAGGGGTTTTTTGGTATTCTTTTTGAGTACAAGTGCCCCTGGTTATGTTAATGTGGGCAGAAGCCTTCTATGGGCATGGTGGGGCAGCTCAGGAGAGTGCGTAAGATAAGAAATAGTAAAAGGGAGCCACAGAGGTGAGGAAGTAACATGAAATTATTTCATTAATGTCATGAAGAGAAGATAAAGAGGGGAAAAAAAAACAACCTAGAAGGGCAAGAATTACATGGTTTGGGAAAGGTAAGTTTCACCTGTAACAGGGAAACAAGGGAGGAGGAAGGAAGGAAGCTTCTGCATGGTCTTTTTTTTCCAGAAAGCTACATTAAATTACAGGGCCTGAAAATAAGGCAAAACTGGGATGATGAGATCAGGTTCCCCAGGGCAGCATCATAAACCAGTGCAACAGCCACGTGAGTTCAGTTTGGTTTCTGTAACTTACTCTCTGATCTTCTTCTCGGAGCCGTCTCTTCCAGGATCATAGACTCCTTTAGGTAGATGCTGAATAAGGCCTATCCTCTGCGCTATTCTGATTTGTTCCTCTTCTGTCAGCTGCGTTGCTAGCCGAGTCTGGCTGGGAGTTGGGTGATAAACAGGAACAGGGACCTGCTCCTAAAATTAAAAGGTTTCCGTTAAACAAACCGCAGAGGCTTTTCTAACAGTTCGTAGCAGAGCACAGGCAACGTAGTTAACACTTCCTTTTAGTCCTACAAACGTTTGTATGATCTCCCACTACAACGCTGCAGTTTTGGGGGCTGTAATTACATTGAGAATGGGATAAAGAATTGAGGCCAGTATCTTGAGCAAGGAGCTGTTTGTGGTTGTTCTCTGCAAAAGCTCTTTATCTCCAGGAATTAGAATGAAAGTACAACAAACTCCATATGACAGAGGGCACATAAACCTTCCAGGCACCCGCTGAACTGCCGAGATACTGACTGAGCAACGTCATGGCTGAGGAAGAGCCCCCAGTGTTTGCAACAAAAAGCAGACTTTCCATTTTGGATGAATTACTTGCAAAGATGAGGACAGTGCCTGTTCTTAAGAGTCTCGGAGAGGAAGGTTTCATTAGTTCTTTAACAACGAGAATTTATGTGAACTGTTCTGGGCCACACAAGCTCCAAACCAGAACTGTAGGTTTAATTCTTTTGTGTTTATGTCACCTGGGCAATAAAAAGAAAAGCTTAAATAAGTACTCCAGGTTTTACATTTGCTCTCATACATTAATATAATTCTACAAGTTCTCCCAAGATGGACTTCGACTCCTGTTATGTTTAAAGTCCATGCTTCCCAAACAAAAAGTAGGCAACGTGTGGCTATTATGCGGTCCTTCCTCTGCCATGTTCTCAGAAGCTTCTTTTGACATTAAGAAGCTTTAGATACTTTCACTAACAGTTACATTAACATGGTATTTATTTTACTTGCCTTTAAAGCACAGTTTTTTGGACATAAGTACCAGCTCTGAACAGTACTGGCCAGTAACCATACATCTATTGTTAGAGGGAGACAATTTCTTGCAATGGCCTATTTTAACTGTACTTCTTAAACAGCAGAAAAAAATTCAACTTATAGCTGCATTCTGAAAATAACCCTGGTGCACTGGAGATACAACAGCATCGATTCAACTGTCTGAAAAATGCAGAAGTAGATGTTTCAGAGGACACTGCTGCAAAACAAGAGTGCAGGGGTGCGTGCAGCTGCACCGCAGGAACCGCCGATGCAGCACACATCACCTCCAAAGTTCCCTTGCCAAACTCCCCCTTGCTCATCGCAGACGCAGGGAAGACACGGGCTTTTGTTGTCTGGAACAGAGCAACCACCTTTGTGCATGTCCTTACAGAGCAGGGGCCAGTGTTGGCATCGCCAGGTATTTCTAGCAGCAGAATACAGCTGCGTT